GACACGTCCCCATTTGTCCTATTTCCGTCATACGTCCTTATATATAACGAAAACACGTAAGTGTGTGTGTGTGTGTGTTTGTGTGTGTGTGTGTGTGTGTGTTTTGGGGCTGCAGGGCAGCTTTAGGATGACGGATGTGTTGTTAACATTGCTGAGGGACACCTGAGACAGGAGGCATATCGGATGGACATCACTCCATCAGTATAGTGTCAATAAAATTACACACACACACACACACACACACACACACACACACACACATGCGTACGCCACTCGGGGAGAAAACCAGAAACCAAAGAGATGAGAGAAATGGTTGGCTGTGAATGTCAATCGGGAATGTATATGCAGGCGAGTGAAAAATGAGGAAGCTGTTTTGTAGACACGGGGAGTGTAATTAGTACCACACACAGCTTCTGAGAAAGCCTTTTCACATTTGACCGTTAATCAGCGGAGCTGCCAAGCCAGTCCCTGTTGTCCATTTATTAGTTCGCAGCTGTTTCATGAGGGAAATTTACTTCTGACCTCTGAATTTGGTTGCAGTTGTGCGGTAAAACAAAAAAGAATGACTGGAGCTAGCACACATTCTGGGCTATTTTCGTTTCATAGGCAAAGAACCTCCACCCGGTCTGGAGTTCATAATTATTAGAAAAAAGTGATCATCACAAAGAAAGACGAAGCTAACAGAAATCTTTTCAGTTCTTTACTCAGGTAATGCAATTCAGTAGCATCGATTCTAGAAAATAAAAGTTCGGGATGACCCAAAAGGCAGAAGTGAACCCTGAATATATCGGAGGCGATCACAGAACATTTGGCAAAGTCTGAAGCCATGTTTTAACGACACCTGCTTTATTCACTTCCTCAACCAAAATGCATTGTTCCTTGTATATCACTCACTTGTCATGTCATATTTGAATTATTGTATTGAAGTTTGGGGAAATAACTTTGAGACCAATCTTCAGCCCCTGGTTACACTGCAAAAAAGAGCCATTCGAATTGATCATAAAGTCAATTATTTACATCCTACAAATGTATTGTTTCTACAATCTTCCAATTTAAAATTGTCTGATCTTGTAAACTTAAGAACTGCGCAAATAATGTTCAGAGCATCAACTGGCTCTCTTCCAGAAAATGTTTTAAAACTTTTTCAGGAGCGGGAGGCACTTCGCAACTACAATCTCAGAGGCGAAAATCAATTACACAAACCAAAAATAGGAACTAAATTGAAACAATTGTGCATATCCAGTCGTGGTGTCACCCTCTGGAATACTTTAGCGGAGGAACGTAAGTGTTGTGGAAACATAAACCGTTTAATTTAAGCGGAATGTCCTTAGTAAATACCTGGAAGAGAGTGAGTGATGTTCTATGAGGGTGGTGTGGTGTAGGGAGGGGTGTAGGGACGGAGAGCATTAGGCCAGTGTGTTGTCTCTGTGTCCTGTATGCATGAGTGTGG